GAGGTTTAGTTCTATTTTTGACACTTAAAATTCCAGCCTTTATGAACAGAGCACAATGAGAATACAAAAATAAACCCATGTTTAGGGCCATAGAGGAAGAGATCACACTGGCTTGTATTTATCTGGAGAGAAAATTGCTCAAAACAGTAGCAAACTCGGCTGGGCATGGTGGCATATGCCTGGATTCCCAGCATTTTGGGAGCCAGAGCAAGAGGACTGCAAATTTAACCCCAGGTTGGGTCATTTAGCGAGGCCTTGTGTGAAAACAAAATAAGACAAAACAAGACTAAACAAAACACCCAGAAAACTCAGGTGATGTGTGTAAGAAGCAATTTATCTCCATTAGCACGAAAGCTAATTTGATGGATATTTTTTCTTTTTCATAAGCACTCTGCTGGGTTGTCTGAGTTGATTGTCTGGTACTCCTAGATGCTGTCAATCAACTTGCAGTTCACGTGAGCTTTCCTTAAGTGTTTCAGCTCCCAGAATCCCCTAAGCTGCCTGACAGCCATGGATGAGAGGAGACACAGAGGTTCCACACTCCTGTTCTCCTTGTTTTCAGTGTCCACTAGCTTCCTCTCCTAGTCAACCTCTTCAAAATGTTATCTCCAAAGACACAACAAGCACACCCACGTTCCAACTTGCAATATGTTTCCAGCTATGTCCTGTTATACCTGCTGCCTAAATATTAATTTCCATATTATTTCCCTCGTCTTGTTCCATGACTTCTGTTTCCTTTGAGGTTTTGAAAAGTGCAAGAACACGATCCCTGAAATGCTCCATGTGGCTTCTGCTCTCTTACCTATTTTGTTTTCCTTTACTAAAATTCTGGGGAGACAAGTTGGCTGATGAGAAAGGCAGCTCATCAGCTGACCCCTGCCACCCCTCTTGGTGTTATCCCAGCATGTCCAGGACTGTCCACGCTGCCCTGCAAGGATTTACTGCAATGCACGTTTCCTAGAAGGTGAGGGAGAACCACGTGCTGCTTGAGTGCACGGAACATTTCAAAATTAGGTTTCAAAAGCGTGCCTGGTTGTCTAGGGTGGTGGAATGACTGGAGGTGGAATTAAGGTTTACTGATGAGCTGATTCCACGCTCTGGGGAAATCCTGCATTCTGTTTGACACTTGATGTTTTTCAACTGGACCATGGGATGGTTTCTTCACCACCGACCTGAGTGTCAGTACGAGGCTCAGATCAATGAAACTGATCTTAAAGGATGTCTTCGTAACTGATTTTAAAGGATGTCTTCGTATTCTGTCATAATAAAGCATTATTGTTGGACTCAGTCTGGGAAATTTGAGTTCCTTGGTGTATTTTTAGAAAGTTTTTTTTTTTTTTTTTCTGGATTAGAAAGTGTTTTTTTCCCCCGGGGTGTAGTCTTGATTCTGGTAACATTCATATAATTGACTCAGGGAGCAGCACATGGTTGCTTACCTTGTTTTGTTAAGGTTCCTAAACCTTTTCTTTAAATTAAAATTTCAAGCAGTAACAAACCTGCACAGACTAATTTAAAGACTGGTATTGAGCAGATGTGATTTGCGGAGGTGGGAAGGAGGCCTGGGCACGGGCGGTGAGGGAGAGGGGGAAGAAAAGCAACAGAGACATGGTGCCTGGATGGAGCAGTTCTTCACCATGAGTTCACTATTATACATGGCAGACACACACCAATAAATAAAAACCTTAAATAAACCGATGGATGGTGTCTAAACAAGTATGATGAATAAAAATTTAAAACTTTGTTTTTAGGATGATCCCATCCCAGAATAATGACCTGATTCTATGTATTTCATAGCGTTCTTAGAAGCCAGGAATCAAATCGTGATTTCCAGTGGCCTGAAATGAAGTTAGAAAGTCTTTGGTATAATATGACCTTAAGTTCGCTCAGTTATAGTAGTGTGACCAAAATCATATTTTCTCGTTTGTCTACGCAGGTTCTTTCTGTGACAGTTTGCCATCAACTAGATTGGCTTAGATGCCCATTAATGAAATCAGGTCCTTAACCTGCAGATACTGTAAGCTTCAATCTCCAACACCTAGAAGGAGATTGTACAGGCAGCACACACCAAGCATGTCTGGTGGTGGAAATGCCAGTTTTCTTGGGAGGGATTCCCTTGTTTGGTGGAAGGAAATAAACTATAAAGGTTAATTGAATGAGTTTTGATGTTACTCAGACCTGGGCACAAATGCGTTCTTGTTTTTAACAATGCATAATTTCTGAGCCTCAGTATTTTGCATCTGTAGAATGGACATGCAAATGCATAACAGTCACACTAACACTTTTATGAGCATGAACTATAAGACATTTGCTTAGGACTGTAGTCGCTAATAAAAGGTAATTATATTGCCACCAATAATGAGTGATCTCAGTAAATAAATATAATTCTATCATTAATAATGATCATGTTTAACATGACAGATGCTACCCAAAGAAGTCATGAATATTAAACTCCTTCTCCCCATACAAACACAGGGCTGTTAGTGGTCCAGGTTTACAGCTGAGACTCACCAAGGTCAGGTAGGAGAAAAGGCCTGACCAAGTCTTGAACTTTGCAGTTTGGCTTAGAACAGGAGATCTTAACTACACCATTCTGCAGTCCCTTCCTACCCAATGACACTCATGGACCTAGTGTTTTGGTGGAAAGACTGGCGATCGTTTGGATAGCGTGGAAAGACAGTGCCCACTCTGCGGTTTACCATGGGTACCTAGACGTGGTACTCACAAAATAGGTTTGTGTCCACTAGGTGGCATTGCTGTTTTAATAAAATCTGAAAGGAGCCAATATGGAGGCTCACCAATCTGCTGGATTTGAAAGCTCTCGCAGGACAGTCTAATTTAGGTCTACTTAAAGCTGATGGAGGATGCCTCCAAAACTCAGAGCATAGGTACAGATCTGTAGGACTAATGGATCTTTGAATAAGAAAAATATATGCTAGTTCGTTTTGCTTGGCAATGTCTACAGAAAGTCTAGGTGTGAGATTATCTAGTCCATTCTGGCAGTTCATAGACAAAGACTGAGGGCCACAGAGGGGAGGTGACTTGTCCAGGGTAACCCGGACCTGATGGTTTCACAGTAGCTCTCTTTCTGTAACCCTTTCTACTGGTGTTGAATGATAAGGAAACTGATTTCTGTACATTCAGAATACTTTCCTTCTGGGTACGGGGCAGAAGACTGTCTAACCATGGTGAGCTTTTGTTTCACTGTGATTTAAACATGTGTTCCCAACCGACAGTATAGTCAGGAACTTAGATATTCAGAAGCATAAATGCCAAAAAGTGGTGTCTTTTCTTATTTTCTACTTTCACATGCTTTCTTGGAAAGACTGCATGCCTCGGCTTAAAAAGCTGGTCTTTATTAGGTGACTGTGTAGGTTGTGAGTACGAAAGCCTTAGCAAGTAGGAGCTTAACTGATAACACAAAGATGCTGGAATCAGAATGCGTGGAGTGAACGCAGGCACACTCATGGAGTGACCCCAGGACCCTGGGACCTCCAGAGTCATCTGTTTCTGTAGTAAAATGGCAATCATATTTCTGCTTATTCCTAAAGCCCTTTGTGAAAAGTAGATGTCTGCAAAGGAGCTGTGATAAGGATAATAGCAGTAATTGAATATTTTCATTATTAATGCAGATTTAGTTCTCTACATCCCTCAGGTGTGACAGTCGTTACAGGTGCTTTGTTAACTTTCCTCACTGTCACGGGCTGAACTGCTATGAGGGAGACAGAAGATTTCAGGTTTATGGTTGTGGAACATCACTGACTCCTCAACTAGATGGTACCAGTAGCCAAGAACATGGCTGTGGAGTTCACTATGTGCACACAGCACCTGTGGGCTGTAGGAACCTACTAGAAGGTGAACAAGCACATGGTACCCAAATAATAACAACAGCAAGAGTTAAGAAGCACAAGCTAAAGTGTTGTAATTATCACACCATCCCTGTGAACTAGAGATTAGTATTTTCTTCTTTGTGAAGATGTGTAACCCGGGACAGAGAAGCTTGCTCTGGCTTCAATATCAAGCCAGAGAGTCAGGATTTGAACTCAGGGAGCCTTGTTCATTGGCCCTACCTGTGGGCTGGGGACGAAGGGGCCTTTGGGGGACCTGAGCTCTGACTCTCTGCCCTGGTTCCTGAATGCTATGCTGGAGGCCGGTAGAGGGCTTAGCTCTTCTAGCTGCTGCATACATGTGACTCTGTCACCCAGGCAGGTAATGAGCTAAACCTACATCAATATTTTTATGGCAGTTAGTTAACAAGATGAACTGGTTAAACATGCAGTAGACTCTTGAGAGCAATGGGGTGAGACAGTGGTAGCGGGTCGGGAGGGAGCTGGCTGGGGACCCGACCCTCAGAGATCACCCCTGAGGACCTGAAAGTCACCGCGGTCAGGGGAGGATCAGGCTGCCGATTCCGTCCCGCCTGGGACTAGCTTATTTGTCATCCTGTCCTTCTGTAACCTTCCAGGTCACATTCACTGCTATTACTCAGAATCCTTGAATATGGATTTCCAATGACTTTGCCAGTCTGTTCTGCCTTTACAGTGAGGAAAAAACAGGGGACTCATTTGCTAAGGTTTGTCCCCAGTTACAGCGAGAGGAGGGCCCCGTGCCTTGGTTATTCCACATTGTTTTGCTTTCTTGCTATTTCATTTTGAATCGCATCACTTTGGATACTTGTGTAATTTTCCTGTTTACACAGTAACATTTTTTTTTTCTTTTGGTGAGAGCCTAAATCCAACAGATAACACCTGTTCTTTCTTTACAGATAGCATCTTTCTAATTATAATGCCTTCTCTTTTCCTTGGCTTGGAATAAGCTTTTATAGGTCAAGGGAATAACAATATTTATTAGAGGACTATTTTAAAGTCATTTTATTTTCTCAGTAGCAGCCATTAATGCAAAGAATTCCACTTAGCGGTAAGAAAATGGCCTGGCTCATCGGGATAACGTACCTTCAAAGCAGAATTTCCAGAAAACAAAACACAGAGGACGTTTCCACTTACCGATCTCGCTCATGGTTATGCCCGGTGCTAGCTGCCCGTTGTTGAAAGAGCTATAGGTAAACAAGTTTGGTACCGAGCTGAGGTCATAGATGGGTTCTTGCTTTATCTGTTTGATCCCAGTCATGTCAAGTCCCGACTGATCCGGGGACGGCTGGCCAGAATCCACGCTGTAGTAGCCCTCAGACTTGGGCAGGTCGATGACGTGCCCGTTGGTATAAGTGCCGCTGGTCTCGCTGCCCAGGTTGCTCAGGCCGTTGCTGATGCTGGTGCTGTAGACCCTGGCCAGGGCCTCTGCGTCCCCGCTCTGCTGCTGCCTCTGCTCCTGCAGTCGCTGCTGGTGCTTCTGCACCTCGGCGTACAGGCTGTCCCTTTGCTTCTTGGACATCCTTCCAAACTTCACAGCTGGGGCGGGGAGAAAAACAGAACGTGGGACTTGCGGTTACCCTGCTGCTCAGCCACATGTGGTCACGGATGCCCACTCCTTCAGCGTCTAGAGGACAAGCTTGTAGCATCCGGCCTTCATTTGCACCCTACATTTAGTGGAAGGACACATGGCGGGGGACACATCTGTACTTGTTTCTGTCAATGAAAAACTGAACCCGAGCATGGTAATCAACTTCCCATCTCTGTAACAAGTACCTGACCTAGAAAACTTATAAAGAGAAGGGTTTCTGCTGGTGCTCAGCTTTGGAAGTTCTGGTCTGTGGCTCGGTAGCCCACTATTTTGGACCTGTGGTGGGACAACGAGTTATGGAGGGCGTGGGCTGAGGAAGAATAAGGGATTGGGTTCTGTTATCCCTTTCAAGGGTGCATGCTCAGGACCTGAGACTTTTCCCTAAGCATGGCCTCTCAAAGGTTTCCATCGCCTCCTAGTAGCACCAACTGGGGTACTAAGCTTTTAACATGGGTTCCTGGGGGACATTTGAGATCCTAAGTATAGCTCTAAGACGGGAAAAATAAAAACACGTGTTTCTCATTGCCATGAGGTCAGAAGCATATTTTTCTTGTTTTTTTCCACTTGTGAAACACATAGATGTACATAGATACACACACACACACACACACACACACACACACACACACACTCACTAGTGACTGGTACCAGCTATTTGAATGTTCACCGATACCCATTATTAACTTTCTCTGCTAGTTATGATTATTCGGATGCCAGAAAGGACCCTGTAATTTCACTTTTAGAACTACTTTGCAAATAGAGTTGGGTAAGACCCAGGAAATATGGCAGGGTAATGAACACAATTTCAATTGAAATGCATTATTTACCTTCTGTTGGGTTTGGGGGTAAAAGATAAGAACTTTGGAAAGCAGTAACTGTGTGCATCCAGTGCCCAGCATGGGAACCAACTGTAAGTACCTCTCCTCGTTCTACACAGCTCCAAGTTTTATTTTATCCATTTCTTCTGGCAAAATTCTCAGCTACTCTGAGGAAAAATGAAGAAGAGACTCTGCAAATAGTCACAGAGTCTTGCATTTCAATATGTTGTTTCTCATCTCATGAGGTCTAACTTCTGAGCTGTTATGGATCCTGACATTTTCCCTCACAAGTTATCACCTTTATTTTTAGCATATGAGCATCCTGCGTTTCAGGGCTACCTGGTCTGAGCTGCCCCACACTCTTCACCTCACATAAATGCTGGGGCCTATGACAAGCTTGGAGGCTCCTCTCTGGATCTCTATTTTCTTTTCCATGGTGGCAGCGTTCCTATCGCCTGCTGGCACTGGGAACTCAAGAGAATGTAACAAGAAGCAAATGGAGAGCAGGGAAGTCCAGCTGCTGGATTCAGGTGTTGAGGTAGGTTGTTTTCTGAGAATAATTAAAGGCTGAAGTGTTTGAGAATTCTCTAGCTGGAGGGGCCCATAGAAGACATTCATGCTGTAAGAGAGCTGCTGTTCACTCCCCACAATATCTCACCAAGATTCATGTTCTCTTTCCATTGGGTATAAAGCTACCCAATTGATCTGAGCACGGACTGTTAAGAAGGAACACATTTCCTGACAGATATAGCTATGTGATTAGGAAGTAGATGCAAATGTTGCATACACTTCCGGGTGAAAGGGTACACATTTCCCTCTTTCTAGCCAGCTGTAATGTAAGTGTGAGGGCTGGATATAGAGAAGCTTGTACTCTATTTCTCCTTACTCTTTACAAAAAATCTTATATTTTGGCTTTCTGATGATAAGTAGGAAAATGAAGTGGTAATTATCCAGTCATTTTTATGAATGAAGACAAGCAGTCTGATTAATTCCCACAAGAGTCTCATTTCCATCCCAGTCCTTGCTTTTACTGGGTCTTGAATCACTGAGATCATTGTGTTTTACTTTGTTTGTTGAGACACTGCTTTTATTAGATTCTGTGTCTCAGAGACAACTTTATTTACTTACTAACAGTAGTGATATTTCCAGTTTGTCTACAGTAACTTTTTAGGCAAAGCTTTCTCTGTACATTTATATGATACCGCTCTAAATCATTTACATTATTCTCCAGGGGAATAAGGCCTTTTTGTATGACAAAAAGTAAATGATAACAAATATTGATTCAGAAAGAGCTCTTCCCCCAAGCAAACACTGTGACACACTTCTTTATCTGATGCCCTTCTGTCCTTTGCAGTCATGTGGGTTCAGAGCAGCTGCTCGTTGTAGAGTTACAAAGGTGAATGAGAGAAGTGTTTTACTATAGACTATTATTTTTTTTTTTTTGTCTAGGCCAGTACAGATCTACTTTTTGGCTTATTTTAATGAAATAGTTTTGCATATATTGGTTTAAAATTTCCAAGAACTAAAATTCAAATGAGAAACTCTTCTAACTTGGAAAAAGAAATGTAGTGTTTATTTTAAAAGCACTTTCATATGATCCTTGCTTTAGATTTCTATTTGCTTTACATTTGGGTGAAATATGCCTTGTGGCAGATTGATTGCATTGAGGATTCCTCTCACTTATTTCTTTTCTGTCTGGGTAGGTGTGCTGCCCAGCTCTGGACGCATGGTCGTGAGATCTGCTCTGGACCAAAGTGATATTAATGTATGTAATATAAACAGGCTTTAAAAGGACATGTAGGTTGGGTACCTCAGCTAGACAGAAGGATGCCTGAACTAGCTAGCTGCAAAGTGCGTGAAAGCTGTCCACTCCTCCTCAGTACCTCCAGATGACCACTGGTGACCGCTGACCCCCAGAGCCGACCTGCCGCTGACTCAGGCAGAATTCTGTTGTTAACCACAGTCATCATAATTAGAGCTAACAATGTCAAAAAAGGGTCTGCTGCCCTTTGGGGCTCTGTTATGCTAAAAACCTGAAATTTAACAAAGAAAAGCTATGCCTTTTCTAAGAAATTCACTTAACAGGTCTTAGAACAACGGCTATACTTACAAAGAAACAACTAACGCTCCAACCTATTTTAGAATTATCAGCCTTCATCCTAAATCAAGGGCTTCACTGGCGAAGACTGTAACACCTTCTTACAATGAATTGCAAGCATGGCTCATTGCTATTTCAGTTTTACATCTCTTCCTTCAATAAAACTGGGGACATATTTGGGAAAGAATTACAGTGCATGGCAAAATAAAACTACCAAACTTTCATGACATACAAATAATTCTTTGTCACTTTTGTAATTATATTTTTTGCATTCATAGACCTGCTTCAATAAAGGCCAAGTTACTATTATATTTCTAAGTACTTAAATTCTTATCATTCTTCACTAGCACGTATGCTAAGTGTCTGCTCCTCTCAAACTTGAATTATTCCATTTATGATATTCACTTGACTATTGATGTGGCCTCTTACTAAGCTGCCACTTCTTATAAAGAAACCAGTACAATTCTGTGTACATTGTGAGTACTTTCTAAGTATTCAGTAATGATGGTAATTATTCATGATATGATTTTAATGCTCATTTCAATCTCATGTTTGAAATCTATTATTTCCTACTTTTTCTGTAGCAGAACTTCTAGAGATGAAAAAATGTTCTTTATGCTTCCCGGTATGGAACCCACAAACACAAATGGCTGGTAAGCAGTTGAAGTACAACTTGTGTGGTTAAAGAATTGCAATGTAAGTTTATTTCATTTTCATTAACAAATGTAAATGATTTAAATGTGACATATGATTGGACAATATAGTGAACAGAAGAAACTTGATCTATGAAACCTACCCTTGTAGGGCAATCTCTGTCTTTTTGTAGGGGTGTACCACTGAACAGGACTTGGTCTAGATTTTAAAACATTACTAATTAAATTAATTTTTTCACATTTTAGTTGTTTGCTAGGTTTTCTGTTTTTCTTCAGGCTCAGTATCTTTCCAGTTACCATTTTTCAGTAAAGTTATGTTGAATTTTCTTTTATAAAGGGATTAATTAAAACAAATTTGTGAAAGATTCAGTTGAAAGAAAAATAGGTAATATGGAAGAAATTTCGACAATCAAGTCACATATACCCATATTCTTTCATCTTTTTATGAACAAAATCACATATGTATATATTCAAAGTGGGTTTGATTTTTTTTTTGTTCTTTCACCTAAGCTAAATTTGAACAAATTCATTGTTGCTGAGTTTGCTATTTACTCATATATGTGCTGTGGTTAATAAAATTGTATATAAGTGAAAGTTTAGAAAACAATGAAGAAAACCAGTGATTTGAACAATGTTTTAAAGCTGTTTACTGACAGCTATGTGGTGTTAGTGCCAGTTTAGAGATTCCTGGAGCTGGGACTGTGTGTATAAAACAGAGAGAATGCACCACTGCATCTCCGAGGAAAGGAAAGGGTTGTAAGCAAGCTAAGTGTGATGACAGTTCACCTTGGCTTTGGTAATAGTGCTGAAGCAATCTGAAAGTATTAGTTTAGTGAGTAGACAAAAAGGATGGTAAGAGGAGTGGAGGGAGAAAGTTCAACTGTCATTTCTGAGTTCCCATTAGACAATGCGAATGCACCATAACTTCAAGGCTTTTGAATTCAATACCAGTTCTTGGCATTGCTTATCAACAGTTGATAAAGCTTAATCAACATCTGGATATTAGTATGATTTGTTTGGTGTGATGGACTCTTTATAATCAAGGTCCTGGCCAACTTTGTCTATTTGTCATGATAAAGAAGAAGTTTTTTTCTGAGGAGAAAGATAGATGGATAGATAGAAGCTGTGTATGTCTTCTTACTGCTTGGCATTTCCAACTACTACTCCTACCCTGATCCCTTTTCTTCATGATTAGTTTGATGTAAGACATATTTTGGAGGCATTTGGGGAATGTTGCAGACAGCCTGAGGATGGTCTCTGGGTCTAAAATTCAAATGGGTCACTATCCTCACTGCCCAGTGTCCTAAGACACCATGTTGATTATCTGCATGGAAGAGTTGTACAGCAGTAAGTTCCTGTCTCCTTGGGAAGAGACTGTGGTTGTACACATTAAGCAATATTCTCAACACATTGCCTTTATGCAATGAGATTCAAAACCCTCCTAGTCTTGGTGGGCTAAAGACACTGAGTGTACTGAATATGCCTGGAACGTACACTCATGTCTTGTTTGGTGCAGACCACAAGCCTGCCATTCCAGAAGAAATCTTTGTGTGTACGAAGTAACAAAAACAAATACACACATTACTAATTTAATGGTGAAGTCCTGTTGCCTTACTAGGTCATTCAGTGAATTGGTTACTAAGTGAGGAATTGTCTCTAGTACATGTATTACAATATTCAGGACAAAGAAATGGTCAGAAGAACTCCCAACTTGATGAGTTTGCTTTTGTTTGCATAACTCTTGCATGTAGTACTGTAATACATATCAGAACACAAAACCATGGTACAGTACTATACAGTAGCATCAGCAAAACTTACAATATGGTAAACAAAGCGTACTGTACAAAAAAAGACCTTAAGGCCCTGTAAATGAGAGGTACAGAACTCTACAAAAACACTCAGAGTCACAGCTCTGAGTGGCAGGTCATTAGTCCAAATGGTTGTTAAACAGGTAAGCTGTTAAACGAAGAATATCTGCATACCGGACAGTTTATCTGTTTTTGCAATTATTGGGATTTTTCTAGCTACTGTCAATTAAGATGCTGCCTCCATAGGGGAGAAATGAAGTGCAAAACCATCCACTCAAATTCGCATAGATTTTCACTAAATAAATTCTGAAAACCCTTTATTTGCCCTTATTATGTAGAAACAGTGCAGTACTATCCATCTACCCTAGGAGTAAACTTACGTGCTTAGTGAGCCCAGGGAAAACAAGCGAGACAAAAAACACAGCTAATAGGGACATTTTGGGAACTTGATCTATAGCTTTAGAAAGTATAAATGGTAAGTCTCAAGGTCAAATGCTTTCTAATTTTTTTGGTCTAATTTGTCTTATAGGTACATATTTGTACAAGATAAGTTTAGCCTGATTGTGAATCAAAGAAAAGATTAAAGAAAAAAACGCCACAGTAACACATTGTATTCCTGTTTACTAAGGGAAAACATATATCAATTATATATATATATGTATATATATATATACATATATATATATGTACTTGAAGTTTCTGTCTTTCTATTCATTTTTAATTTTATATATGCTACCTTGAATTTCTACTTCACTAGAGGAAATATGACTGGAGAGGTACAGGATCCACAATGGCTCACATAAAAAGATTAAGTTATCAGGGCATATCTCTCTCTCAGTTAGAGGTAGAAAAGAATTCCATAGTCCATTCAGCACCGCTTAGGTACCTGCTTTTATTCAGACCTTAAGGATGCCATGGAAACAAGACACAAATGGCCCCGGAACATCCTGTGTTCATTTATAATCTGCTACAGGAGAGCTGTCTAATCTCAGTAGGGAAAGAATGAATGCATATGAATGCTGAAAAATGGAAGCTGCAAATTATTTGTTCATCTTATTTGAGATTGTGTTTTTTTTTTTTTTTTGTTTTGTTTTTTTATCTTTTTCCTTTTTATCGGTACCAGGGATTGAACTCACGACCGCCTGCTTGCAAGGCAGGCGCTTATGCCGCTGAGCTAAATCCCCAGCCCCCGATATTGTCTGTTTTTGGAGCCGGAGCCAGGATGCCCAACTGGGTTGGCACTGGGAGGAGTGCACATATGTGACACACTGTGACTCTGACACTTGTCTATGTGAACTTTATGTTTTGGTGGAGAAATCTTGGGAATCGAACCCAGGGTCTCACACATGCTAGGTAAGTGCTTGACCACTGAGCAACATTAATACAGATTCTTTTGTTTCCTGCAAGGTTTTTTTTTTTTTTTTTCAGTACTAGGGATTTAGTTCAAAACCTCTGCAATGAACCATATCTTTAACCTTTTTGCTTTTCATTTTGAGAAAGGATCTTGCTGTATTGGTGAGTTGGCAAGACTGTGCTCAGTCTTGTGATTCTCCTGTCTCAGCCTCCCAGAGTGCTAAAATTACAGGCATTATTGCCTCACAGGACTCCTCCATACCCTTTCCAATATGTGAAAATCCTGCTGTAGCTTTCACAGTGTCCACTATGGGTCAGAATGGTGGAAACCCTTCTCTGGGTACACAGGACCAGCCAGCCAAGCTTCGGAGCGTCCTGTATATGCATATTCTGTTCCTTAGTATTTTCTTCACTAAGCGATTTGTGCACCAATGAGACTTTCCTAGTAATGGCAAGGCCCTTGTTTGCTGGGAATTTTCAAGTTTTAGCTCAGAAAGTCTCACATCTCAGGTCTCACTCTACTCCCAAGGAAATGTGGTGTATGGTCACCTTCACCCAGACCTGTGCAGCTTTCACTCACCCAGGTTGCATGGTGCAATCTTCCCTTCTTGTTTTGTAGGCAACGCTCTATGTTACATATTCTTAACTTTACTTCTTCACTCACTACCTGCACTGTGGTCCAGCTTTCTTCTTACTCTCAATTCTCACATTTACATTCAGTGGTTTAAAGATACCCAATGAAGCATCCATTTGAAAATCATCAAATAAGAAACAGGAAGGTAAATAACTGTTATGGTTGATACACTGTGTCAACTTGAGAAGTTTAGTTTAACTAAAAGAACTAGCAAAGAGCCAGGGTCCTTCCTTTGTAAACATCCTGAGCCTGTGCAAGAGGAGGACTGGGATGTATTGAGAGTACTACACTCACCCTGGGGGGCAGGGTGGACTGCTTACAATTTAAGAGAGGAGAAGAGGCTTGTTCTCCCCCATTTTGCTCTTTCTGCTTTTGCTATCTTCTGCCGCCTTGAAGTGTTGCCCCTCTGCCACACCACCCAGCTTTGGAGCCAGCTGATTATGGACTGAAACCTCCATAAACTGTGAGCTAAATAAACCTTTGCTCCTTTAATTGTAGGTGTCAGGTATTTTGTCCCAGCAATAACAGATAAGTAATTAAGACAACTCCTTACCATCTCTTGACATCCCTAGGGCAAGACACTTCTGCAGGCGGCAGTGTTGGCAACGGTTTCGGTTGGTCCTGTCAATCAAACAGTTTCTCTGCCTAGGGCAGGAGTAAGAGGCATTGTTCTGCTGACTCCTCCTAAAGAACCCCTAGAAGGAAAAAGAGAAAGGGGGTAAGGTGGATGTGTGAGAAGGGAGACATTATCACACACACTGGATACATTTTCTACAGTGAACAAAAGTGCACTTAATTTTAAAAATTCTTTGCATAATTACCCTTCAATAGTTCACAGATGTTTCTGTGCAGAAATATGTGTTATTTATAGAGATACAAAGGATCATTTTCATTCACACATTTATTTGATGCATGTTTATTAAAAGCATTTGTGAGCTGTGCATTTCTCTGCAAAGAAAACACGGTTCCTGCACCCAAAAAACAGTGGGGAAGAAGTGACAAAAAAGTATGTCACTGCCAACCAATGTGATGAGACAGACTCTGCTGGGACAAGAACACGGAAATGTGTCGAGTCTTGAGCCAGCAGGGGACACTGGCCCAAGCAGTAGCAGTGGTGGCATCAAGGAGCCCAGGCTCAGAGTGTGGCACTGCTTTCTCAGATTTTAATACGCATTTTCTCCTTTTGAATATTGTTTTAAATTTGTCTGGAAATCTGGAAAAGGGTTCTGCAAAGCAGTGGTGTGCCTTCTGATCAATCCCATCTTTGAATAAAGAAAATATCAGCTAAACCTTTCAATTGTAAAGAAGAGAAGGTGAGTATGGTGGCCCTTACTGTAACTCTGGCACTAATGGAGACTGAGCAGGGAATAGAAAGTTTGGGTCCTGTGTGGATCTCATGAGAGCCCGGCCCAAAATAAGTAAGAAAGGGTTGATGTAGCTGAGTGATGAGTGTCCCTGGGTTTGATCCTTGGTATAAAACAAAACAAACAAAACAAAATCCCAAACTCAACAAAACAGCCTAACAACAATATCAACAACAACAACAAACCCAAAATAAAATCTGAACAATTTGCCTTCAAGCCTATAACAGCATAAGATGCCTTCATACACGTATGTTTGGGTCTTTCTGATCCAAAATGAACTGCCATGGATTATACATGACGCTTCTAGTCTACATCTGTGTTTGTTGTTCTTTTTAATTCTTTAAATGTCATCCTCCCTTAGTTGTTTTATAAAATGAGCATTTTCTCTGGAGACTTGAAAGTCATCACTCATCCGTCCATGCCCCTCTGCAATCAGTTTTCCTAATCATTCTTTGCTCTTGAACTGCCTGTGGGGAAACCATGAAAACAGAGCTGTGAGCAAAAAGATAAACTAAAACAGATGCATGGAGAGAAACTTTAGGAGATGATAACACGGCGCATCATCTTTTGGAAGGACATGGCTTAGAAAGTTTGGGGTGGGGTAAGCTCAATGCTCAGAGTGCTGCAGGGCCTGGAGGACTGTCCCCACCTTTTGTCAAATACCTTCTGTGTGTCCATGGGTGGATAGAATAGGGCTGGATTTGCAAGAGGCTGGTGAGACAGCCATTGTGACTACAAAATTTGTGGCTCATCAAAATAATTGATAACTAGGAGAAGTAATATCTTAATGTAATACATTAAAAACCAGCATCAATGAGAGAGAACAATCAGCAGTTTAAAGAAAGACCAAATTGCTAGCATCGATTTTTCCATTTGTTATGGATTCCAGTGGGGTTCAGATTGGTACCAGGAGGAGAGCTTTGCCAACCTGTAAGAAATCTCAGAAATGGCTATGTGACCAAGGGTCCTTTAGAAAAAATCCCTGTTGGCTTTATGGTTGAAGCCTAAAGCCTTCGACAAGGTCTTGTATCCTCTTCACATCTTCCTGTGTACTATTTACTTGCTGGACCAGTGATGGCAGAATGAGCTTCTGATTGCCCCATTCAGCTGGAGTCATATTAATACAGAAACCACACGGAAGTCCCCAGGGCTTACAGAGACGTCCAAGGTTCTTACACCAGGAAAACCATCAGAAAGCAGAACCTCAGCACACCGGTCTTGATCAAAGATGACTTAAAATTTACATTTTAAGAAAGAATTGGGTGGTTTTTAATCTTTGGATACTACATTGCCACCAAGCAAAAGAGTTGACAGGAAAGACTTTTTTGAAGTCTCAGCTACGAGTCCTAATTTAAGGCCAATTTGACATTAATTATGAGGCTTTTCTTGCTTAACTGTGGCTCATTATTGAAAATGAGATTTTGGGCATGAAAAATATTCTGTTTCACATTTTATTGAATGAGGAGGCATTGAATAAATGTGTGAACTGATGTTTTATGGAAAGTGGGTTGTTCATGTGTACTCCAAAACAGTATTAGGAAAATTTAGAGGTTCATTACTAAATGTGCTGACATTGAAATCTAATCTTGAATGAAATTTCTTAAGTTTTCTATTTGGAAGAAAATGTAGCATTCTTACAAATGTGAGTTTTTCCATGAAATAAATAAAAATAATATGATATACAGGTTTTTGAAAAAATTTTAAAGAAAAGCAAAGAAAACAAAACAAAATAAAGCAAAGCAGAACAGAACAATGCAAGTGATACAGAACTTTAAAACAGGACAACAGGAAATCAACAGTGGCTACCATGTCTCTCATTTTCTTCAAAATAGCTGTCCATACTATCACACACCACAAAATCAAACAAAGCAAAACAGAACAAAACCAATCAGAACAAAAGAATGAAAGCATTAAAGGACTTCAAAACAAGATAATAGGAAATCAACAATGATTACCATAATACATCCCATTATCTTCAAAGCAGTGGCCCATATAGTCAAACACCATAAATTCTAGCAAAACAAGACAAAATAAAAACAAACCTAACAAAATTATGAAAACAATACAAGAATTCAAGACAAGATAATAGAAAATTAACAGTAGTTACCACTTTCCGTTTTTAGGTGGTTCCTTTCCTATCACTTTCATAATATTTATGGTGCTTTTTGAATCCCACTAACTCCTTCAGTTTTTTATGCTAGGGATATAACTTGGTGTTTACCCATATGAGTCCAAACCATTTTACCCATGAGCGTGATCTCCAGTTGCATTCATTTACCTACAAAAGCCTTGAGACTATCCTACTTTATAGCTGTGTAGCTTTCCATCGTATGAAAATATATCTTTGTTATCCATTCTGCAGTTGATGGGCAAGCTACCCCTCTTCTTTCTTAGAGGAACAACTGTATTCTCTCCTTTGATTTTTAGTCTATGAATTTCCTTTTGAGTTAAATGTTTCTTGTATACAGTCTATCGATAGATCTTGTTTATTTTATTTTTAAATTTTTTTATTCTAAAGAGATTAAGATAAAAGAGGACATAACAAAGCAGATCAGAACAGAACAATTTAATCAACACAGTATTTCACCACAAGACAACTGGATATAACAGTAGCTACCATAATGTCTCCTTCCTTGAAATTGGATCTTGTTTCTCGATCCACTCTTTCTGTGTTTCCTTTTATTGCTAACCTGAGGCCATCTACATTGATGGTTACAACCGGCCTGCATTAGCTCCTCTCTGCCCTGCTATCCTCCTGCTGTTGGCCCTCCCTTTATTTAGTTGCCTGTCTTGTTTGGCCATCCTCCTCTGCTGCTGTTCCCGGAACCATGGTTATGTTTATCTCTCTCTAGAATATCCTTTAGCACTCTCTGTAGAGTTAATTTCGTGGTCATGAATTCCTTCAGTTTTTCTTTATCACAAAAGTATCTTATTTTTCTATCGATTTTGAAAGAATAGTTTTGCAGGGTGCATTAATCTGGATTGGAAGTTGTTTTCTTTCAGGATTTAAAACACTTCACTCCAAACTTTTCTTGACTTGACGGTTTGTGTTAAGAAGTTTCTCATAATTCGGATGGGTTTTCCTTTTCAGTTTCTTTTTTTTCTAACAGCTTTTAGTATTCTGTTCTCGTGCTGAATTTCTGGGATCTTGATTATTATATGTCTGGACATAGATTTATTTTGGGTACGGCTAGTTGGAGTTCTGTAGGCCTCATTTTTCTGTATGCCAGCTTTCCTCATGTTTGGGAAGTTTTCTTCTATTACTTCTGTCTTTTTATTTCATTTGTGTTGACCCTGCTTCTTCACTGATACCTATTGCTTTTAAATTATTTTTCCTTACATCATCTTACAGTGCTTGAATTGTCATTTCCTGGTTCCTTGGTATTATTAAGAGATATTTTCTTTCATGGTCACAAGCTGTAATCCTGTCTTCAAGATCTGAAAGTCTATCTTCAGTCTGTCTCAAGAGGTTTTGCCAGCTTTCAATTGACTTTTTAATTTCTTACATATTTCTTTGAATCTGTTTTATGCATTGTAATTTCTTCCTACGGAGTTCAGTCAAGGTTTCCATCATTCTCCTATGTTCCTCTTTCTTTAAACTATGTCCTCTTTAGATGTGCTCAGCAATTCTTTCATTATATTTCTGATTTCTTTTTATACCTGAGACATTATTTCTGATCTAATTACTTTTAGCCTCGTGAAGTTGTTTCTTTACTTCAGTTGCTATCCTTTCGGAGATTTCAGCTGTGTGATTTCCATTTTCTTCCATACCTATATCTCCAAGACTGGTTTTGTGTGCACTGGAGGTCTGAGTTTGCCTTCTGTTCCTTCCTTTTGATGTTTTCCTGGGTTCTTCCCAACAAGCTGGTTGTGGGGCCCCAGGTACTTCCCATGTTGGCTGCCCCTTTGTGGTGTAGGGGAATGGGCCAGCACCTGATTCTTCTGACCCCAGGTTCCCAGGGAGGTAGCAGGCTTCTCCAGACCCATGCAGCTGCACTGAGGCTTCCCCAGTGGCAAGCAGTGTGTGGCAGTTGGGCTGCTTCTTCTCTCAGCCTGTGTGTTTACACTCTGACTCCCCTGATGGCAGGCACATGGGGGTGTGTTTGTCTGATTCTCCCTGAAGCAATTCATTCACTGGCTAGTGCGAAGCAAGGGGCTCCAGTGGCAGTCTGTGAGTGCATGGGGATTACCTGGCTATGTGTTCCTGTCTGCACTGGTTGCCTGCTGGAAGCCTGATGTACAATTTTGACTAGAACCTCAAACTATGTTCATAGTAACAGCATAATTTCTTTGATTGCGGATTTCTCTTTTAAAATAGGAGAGATGGCAGTAGTCCTGGCCTTTGACTTGTTGGATTATCTATTTGCCCAAGTCTTAAAGCATTTAGAAATTATTATACAAAGTCTAGTGCTTCTAAACATGGATGCTATATATCTCTCTCTTTTAAAGTCAGGTATTTCCCAAATAGGTTTTATACAGTAAAACATCAAATATTTGCATGATGACATTGATCTAAAAAACATTTTTAGTACATATACTAGATGACAGCCTTAAAATTGCCAAAGAAGCCAAAAGACTGGTAGAAATGTCTCCAGTGATAGAGAACTAAGTCCAGAGTTGTCAATGTTTATGAAGAAAGACAAAACAAAACAAAATAAAACACTATGCTTACCTGACCAGAGAAAGTACTAATTTATTCAAGGAGGGTAAAGAATTGTCAGTGTATTATTTTGCCTTATCATTTCTTTCTGATGAGATGAAAACTCCATTGAGGTGAGTAACCTATAATTCTTATCCCTTTTTCTCTGTCTTCTCTCCATTTTCTATTAGAGTAATCATATTTTTTGAGACTCTTATGAAGATACTGTCAGTTTTCCCCACATCATCACCATCTGATCATTTCAGTACATTTTGTTTTGTTTATGTTGGAAAGTCTCTTAAGATTAAGGTTGGGCCCCTTGAATTTGTAAGTGTATTACACTTCCCTCCATTTAATGCTTACTGTAAGGATCTACTGTGACTTCACCTTTGAACACAAATACAATTGGTCCTAACAATTGTTTTGCCAGGACAGCGATGTTTGTCTCCCAGCTGGTATTTGTCTTGGTTATGTGTGGATCGTTAAAGTGAGTCCAGAGCTCTTTTGATTTTATTCACTCTTTCCTTCTAAAGACAATTTTTAAAATCTATGGTTAAGTTTCAAATGTCTTTTGCTTCAGATTAGGTCTATTTCCTCAGGTCTATATTTTAGAAGCAATTCATTTACTGGAAAGCACTCTTTTTTTCTTTTTTTGGAACCATTTGGTAGAATTTAGCTGGGTGAGAACAGTGGAATGAATGTGATGAAACTTATTGTTGCCTCACATTTTATTATCTAAATGAATGACATTTATCAAGTGACATAACTGTTGTTTACATCTCCAAACCTTATCAATAATGAAGAGTTTGGGGTGGATAGTTTTCAGCTGATTTAGAGAGCATCTGGTCTACTTCTAACAATTTCCATGCTTCAAGTTTCTTTTTCTGGAATGTGAAAATAAAGAATGTCCATATGCATAATGCATTCATCTCTTTGACTTTCTCTTTCTCCAGCAGATAGATAGATAGATAATAAAAGATAATACATCTCTTAATCTTTATTTTAATCTTTAGTTTTGTCACATTGTAGTAAGGGCCATGGAACTTACCAGAGAAAGTTCTGATGAAAAACAAGAGTCAGTATTTATAGCTCTGTAGAAGAGAATAACTCAAGGCTTTATGTAAGAATCTCTTTTAAACGAGTTGCTGACTTCTTAGAGAGAAAGGGAAAACAAAACGACAGAAAGCAAAGCCCCCTGCCCCAAGCCAGAGGTCCTGAGCCTCACAGCTGGCATGGTGGCCTCCCGCAAGCCTCCCAGAAGCTGTGGCCTGGCCTTGGAGTAGGGGGTGCACAGAGCTGCCCGAGCCAGCGCCCCTACCTTGCAGCCTTCACACGTGATGACGCCGTAGTGGATCCCGGAGGATTTATCGCCACAAATTTTGCATGGTATCACTTCAATTTGTGCTGAAAGGGAAAAACAGACGTTTTCAGTTTAGAGTTTGTGCCCTTTCACCATTCACCTCCCCACTCTGCGATGCTCCTGTGTGAAGACCCCGCGGTGGGAGTGGGGTGTGCAATTACCTGTTACTGTTCCCAAGTTTTCTAAGTGAGGGGACAACCATTCACTGTTACTCTGTTTCCTTCTCTAACTAAAATAATTACATAAATAACCAGAAACCCTTAGTTTTCCAAACTTTCGTCTTCCCTACTTTCTGCATTTAAAGCTTAAAATAGTTGGAATGCAAAATCACATGAACTCATGGCTTTTACTTTACATTTGAAACATTAAGTCTCTAAGAGGTTTCATGTGACCTTCTCTCAATGCATCATATTATAAAGGAAAACTAGGGTGTGTGTGTGTGTGTGTGTGTGTGTGTGTGTGTGGTGGCTTTACACATTACGTGTTTGGATGGTTACTTGTGAAAATGTCACGAATGAATCATCTCCGTGTACGGGAAGCAGGGCCCGCATCTCCACTAAGGTACTGAAGCCTGGTGACAGAGGATAAGGAATGAGGATGCTTCTGATACTCTAATTAATGAGACAAAGTGAACTCAGAGAAGTCAGAGAAAAAAATAATAGATCATGTTGGTTCTGAGCACCAATGTCACAGGAACCAGACTAGTTTGTCTGGAGATGGAAACATTTCCTCGTGAAGGCTGCACGGAATTTGGTGAGTCTGAAGAAAAGGTAAAAGTCAATGACGGAAGCCATGAAGGAAGCCATGAGTGAAGTGTGGTTGTGTGGGGTGGCTGTGATGGTCACAGTGTGACAGTGGCAGTCATGCAAACGTGGGTCCTGTGGTCCAGACGGAGGGGCAGTGGCAGCTGGTGCAGCTCCTGGGCTCAGGCAGAGGAGTTTCCTCCTCATCCCACCGCTGCAGAAAGGATCAGGGTGAACAGGGCGAGGGATGAAAGATGCGGTTTTGTCCACTTAGACAAGTTTGGACTGCTAATCGGCAACGGAAGCGGAAGACCCACCGGAAATTACTCCTGATGTGAGTGCTTGGAGAGGGAAGCAGGGGCCAGGAAGGAGGCAGAGGGCAAAGCAAGGGAGAGGTGTTTGAAGGGATTTCGTTTTTTATGTGTGCCACTTAGTGCGATGCCTTGCAGGCATCTGCACAGAAAACCCATTGGAAGGATGATTTTCAAGTCATCACCATAGAGGTTATTTAGAATGCAGTGATTCCTATGTCTTTAATTGTACTTTTAAGAGTTGTTAAAATTATGTACACTAAGAAGATTGACTATTTTCTTCTGCAGCTAAAATAATTATGCAAAATATACTTCAAAATGCTTTACATATCAATCCGTCACTTGGATATACTTCTATAGTTTTTCACTCTTAAGTATACAAAACAGAGGAATGTAGAACATTACTTCTCATATTGTTTTTACATTTTAAAAATAGGTGATTTTTAGCTTTCTGGTAGTACATTGCTTTTCAGAATTATTTCACAGAAGTTTCTAATCATCTTTGCAAACAGAAAAATCAATTTTATGTTCTTGTTTTTATATGAAAAAGCTGAGGATCAAGGTTGTCAGTGATGCGTCCACGCTGATGTGAACTCACACACCCTCTCATTGAAGGAAAAACCCTGTAAGAATACAGTTGTGAACTCCTAGTGTGCCTACAGAAATAGCTAATGATGAAAACACCAGAAGAGGCAGTCACTTAAAATCCTGATTGGATTAAGTATTTCAGTTGGCTTCTGCTTCTTTTATCTTTTGGATTACTTGAACTCATATTTGTTTTCAAGATTTTGTGCTAGGGAAAGATACTAGATTTGAGGTCATTCTCTTCTGTCCTCCTGGATTCTGGTCTTAAATGTATTAGTGGTTAGAGGCTATGGCAAAGATAAGATCTCTGATCTCATACTGCTGTTATGTTTCTTGCTTTATAAACACAAAGCTTAGCTGACAAACTTCACAGACTTGTGAGGGTCAAGTGTTTTGATATCCATAAATAGTAGACCTATAAAATGTCTTCATCAGTGGCATTGTTATCATTATCTGGTTTTTCTAATGTTCTTGGACAAAAAAATGACAAACTCTATCATTAATCCTTTATTAAAGATCTTGTCATTTTCCAATAACCTAATGAATGACACTGTAAGTTGTTTGCACTATGGACTTTTTGAAAAGTGATAACCTTTCAAACAGATTATTTATCACAATTACAAAACTGATTTCACAAAATCCCAGGTATTCACTGTACATTTTTTATCTTATATGATATTAATACAGAGGCTCTGTTGAATAAATTACTCCCCAGGTAGTAGCTACACGTGGGGAGAATCTGCTTGAATACATTCTTAATTATAAGATGATCTAACTTTAAAGGAAATGAAAATAGAGGTAATTTACCCCCTGGGGAGGGAAAAGATGTTTTTGAAAGGCACAAAGGTTATCCTATACAACTTTGGAAATACAAATGAGATAAAGAACATTCGATGGAGCATCTGCATATTTATACATATTTATAATCCTGGCTTAACATGCAATCCTGAAGAGCTATAAACGCTTTAACAGCATTTTTAAAAGATGAAGTCACTTAAAATGTGCGTTGTTGTATATAGGAAGGGGATATAGGTTTGGAAATCTTGTGACTACTTTTGACTCATTTTAGCAGAATAAATCATCTGAGCATTATTAGAGGTGAAGATAAATTTAGATTAAAGTACTAGTCCTTTCATTTCTTGTACTTAAAAAAATTAACTGCTCTGAGCCACAGCTTTATAGTTCATACTCTGTATTTTATAAAGTATGTCTGCAAGACTGAGTATTTCAGACACTAATTAGGACAACAGATCAGATTACTGCTCCAGGATTTGCCATTTCTAAATGTCTGGCAGTCACACCAGGCAGAGCCTCCTCTGGAATCGTCGCACTGTGAGTTTACCTCTGGAAACACGCTATATGTCATTGTTTCAGGATGAATATCTTGGGAAGCTTTGGATTCTTGGACCTCACTAGTAGTGACAACAAACAGTGATGGAAACTAAGAAGGGAATTTGACTTTTGTGCTTTTCTTGACTCCAGATTTATTCATCCATAGTATATTCCTTGAAAAACACAGTTAGAGGAGTTGAGATGCCCTGGAGGTGGCCTGAGACTTGCTCATGTTTCATTTTGTCTGTATCTTATATGCTCCAGTTATGTCTTCCTACTGCTAAGTCTGTTGTTAAGGTTTTACTTACTGACTCAGTTTCTCCTTATAAAAGCAGTAATATATAGGTTTTCTCTTTTTTTTGAAACAATATTCTCACAGTTTCAGTACTACAAAAGACTTAAAATAATGTGATACTGTCCCTATACTAAAACAATTTATGAAGTATAGTTGATATAATGTCCCAAAAGTTGGCAGGCAGATTGTATTCAACACTTACGGAGTAGCTGATAGTCTTTGAAGAGGGAAACTCTCTCCCCTGCACCTTGAAGATCCTTTCTTTGCTTGGTGTCTTCTGACACCTTGCACAGACTCACCAAGTTTGGAGTCTTCCTACTTATCTGAATTTACACATTTTTCATTCTTTCCCCTGAGGCCCCCAGCAGTGACAACAGGCACTGAGTTCCACAGATTAAGCCAGGCTAATGAATGAACTAGAATACGCATCACACTGGTCTCCCTAATACCTTAACTCTCCCAGGCATCTGTCAGGAGAGGTAGTGATGCTAGGCCTACAAGTGACTTCCTGGTTGCAAGAACCATTTTTCTTGCACTTGCTCTTGTGTTCTTCCCTACCATTCCAGTTCCTTCGCCTCCACCTGCTCATGGTTATGTTCTGGGCTTCTAAGTTAGGATGGGAATAAGGTCATACTTCTTTTTTTGGTTTCAGTGGTGTCCGATTTTCTTTCTGTACAAATGGCATTGGACATACTTCCTTACATAAAGGAGATTTTAAGCAATACTGATTTTTCATATGGAGAATGAAAAAAAGCAATCGGAATCACGATTGGGGAGGGGCATGTACTTTGGGAAAAGCTCTCAGGTGATTCTGGGGTAATATCAGGCTCTCTAAAGGAATTAAATGGATCATATTATTTGCTAGGCATTCTTTTTACCCTGTGGACTTCATGCAAAGTCCAGGAAACAAAACGAAACAAATATAACAGCAAAAGGCAAAATAAAACATCAACAACTTCCTCCCACAAAGCTGGACATGATAGCATATCCCTGCCATCCCAGTGTTCCAGGAGGCTGAGGCAGGAGGATTGAGGTTTCAGTCCAATCCAGAACAGCTAGCCACTTAGCGAGATCCTGTCTGAATAAAACAAAAACTATAAACTTTCAAACAGGAGACAGTAGAGAAATGAAGATTCTGAGGAGTGACCTATGTTGCTTGTATTTGATTTGGGGTTATATGGCACTATCTTTTGCTTTCTGGTTGTTTTATTCTCCTAAGAGAAAGAGGATTTACCAGGCTGGGTCCTAGGCACTGAACACTGTCCTTGGATACAGCACAGGCTGTATTCCTGGACACTTGGTTTGCCTGCTTCTGTTTCCCATAATTTTGCAGTTATGCTAAAAGTGGACAGAGCAATTAAATCGCTTAATGTCTGAGTGAAGCACAATTTACACATGTAAAAGTTTCCAATAAAGATGACTATTTTGGTTAAAAATCTTTTGCAGATGGTCTCAGTAGTCCAAGTTGTATCTCATCTACCATCTGTGATAAATCCAAGTTAAAATCTTTGTTTGTATTCTTTCTTTCTCTCATTGGCAGACTGATAGCATCTATCTCTATCAGGTCCAAAATTTTCTAATCTCACATAACAACAAAACCAAAGGCCAAGGATGAGGCAGGTATCCCTGAGATCTGCTGCATCTGCAGCTGTAATGCATCACAGAGAAGCAGCCCTGAGGATGGGGTGGGATGGAAGTATGGAAAACAGGCCCACAGGGAAGCAATCTTGACTATAGGTGTTCCTCAGAGTGTGTGAGAGCATGATTCTTTTGCCTTT